TCTAACCTCCGTTATATATACTACACCTATACGATTCGGCAGGTCACCCGGACGAGCAAGATCGGGCGCGATGAAGACGGCCGTGGGAACTACCCAAAGTTGCGAGGGCTCTCCGCCAGATAGCGCTCTTGTCCAAGCAAACTCGAAGGTGGAGATAACCGAGCATAGGCTATCTGACTGGTGGGCACGAGTGTCGAGAGAAGAACAAATATTGTCTTACTTTCCCCGTCGATCCTTAGCACGTGAGGACCATGGTCCCGCCTGCGGGCAAGCGCTTTCGTCCCACGAATCGTAATTTTAATAAATAGTACCTGACAGAGCGAGAACGGCAGGGCGTTCTATGCCTTCCGCCGTGCTTTGTACTTTATGCGGAGATTATCTGCAAAAAATAAAAACACACTCGCCAGGTGGCGCAAGACGCCGTCTAATTAAAAGAATGTAGCCACGTATCTATCCCCTCATGTTTTTTAACTTCTAAACTAGATGAAAAAAAAAAAAAGGGATGGTGGTGGGGTGCGTCTGTCAACGCTTATCCACAGACATAATCGAGAGTCGGGTTTCACTACGCACGAGCTACGTTGTTCTGATCTCACACGTCTCCCTTCCCGTCTCCTTGAGAAGAACGCGCCAGCTCGACTTCTTCGACTGACCACACGATGACCTAAAAGTCTCAAAAACTCGACGATAAGATGGCGCCCCCGATCGCCGCTTAGTGTGACCGCGCTATCCCGGCGACTGTCCGCATAAAGCGGCGACCCGGCCTATTCGCCAAAGTCCGAAGGGACAGACGACGTGTGTGTGAGTAGTGTCCGTCGGGTGACCGCAATCTTCTCTGGCAAAAGATTTCTCGGACTACCCGAATTCGCAGAAGAGCGATAAGCGAGCCCAGATGTGTTGCTTCTGCGCACTTCGGTTATTATGACCCATACTGTGTCATAATAACCGACGGAACGCCGCTTTTCACTCGCGTTAACAGCGGTCTTTACATCGTTCGAGTGGCCATGAACGATGATGACCAATTACACGTACATATATATACACGACTGCCCGGACGTTGCCGTAATGTGCGACTTGCCGCGTCCAGCAAACATGTATCCAACCGTCTGATCGGGGACCATGGTGCAATTCGAAGGCGTACACCTCGCGGCACAGTTGGCGCGAACGCGACACCCGCATTATTTTCGCGGTTTCGCTCGGAAAGGGTATTGGCGAGCGGCACATTTGAATGCGTAGGTTAGAGTGCCCCTAGTGGGCACTTTCCATCGCACCATTATACTTGAAGTCGTTCTCACGAGATTTCGTTGTCAGAGGAAGAAGCGATGCTTTTGGCGTTTGAGACGTGTACATCTCGATAAGATGACGTATGTGTAATCTAGAAAAGCACCCGCATACATTTTGATTGTTTTTATAAAGTGCGAAATTAGAAAATGTTTCGCGAGAAACTGGATTTCTTTTAGTGCGGTTCGTGAGGTGAAAACGAGTATACTTTTGATGCCAACTTTGCAAATCTAGACGAAAAAAAGAATTTAAAAAAAATTCGCCGATCGCTTGTTCGCGTTAAAGAAAAAGTGTTTGCTCTGTGCACGCTAAACAGTGTCTTTGTTTATCTTTTAATTTTAAGCAGCAAACTCCGAGCAACATTAAATTGAGTACTTCTAGTTTGATCAAAATCGATCTGGGAGAAATCTGTATCCTATCTTGTAATTGTCTTTGCGGTACATTTCTTGAGTGAGAAGCGGGTACAGTCCGAATCATTAAAATCCTGATGCATTTTCTCCCCCCACTTTTTTGTCGGTGAGAGCGTACGTTGGACGGGAAGTACCCCTTTGGAAACGAAGAAGAACCCCAGATCAAGTCGCGCGCGAGCACAACACACATACCACCAGGTGAAATTTCCAGCTACGCCGACCTGATGACGAGTGTTGTGCGAGCCTCCCGCGTACCCCGCTGCTTCTCCGCAAGGACAAGCTGTTCCGCGCTTGCCTCTTTCTTTTTTTTTTATTTCTCTTTTTTCGTTTGAGCGAGAGGTCGCGTTGTCGGTGCACTCGCGCTCTCCCCGGTTCGCGGAAAAAAGAGAAATAATAATAAAGACGAGGCTCCGCGCGTAATCTGCCGCGCTTTCCTGGAAGAGATTAAAGGCCTTCCAGTGAAGGATTCCACATAAGGACGCGCACGTAGTCCAGCGTTCCTCGCGAGGACGCGACGAAAATCTCCGCAATGTGCGCACTTAAAACGGCAAGAGGCAAAAACAAAAAGGAATCAATTGTATTCGCCCGGGATGTAGCATTGTTGCCGTGCCTCGAAAGCAGCTAAGATCGTCTGCTTCTTTTTGCAGGGGTTGTGTGGTGCCATCAGAACGTCGAACTCTGATTCGAAGGATCGCGGGTAGACCTCAATGCTAGCTGCCCTGAGGTCTATCCACTATCCTTCAAATCAGACCTCGGCATCTTTCTGACGCCACCACAACCATCTTGCAAAAAAGCAGCAGACGAACTTGCGCCCTGCTCTGGTTTTCGAGTGGGCAGCATTCATCATCGGGTCGATACGTCGATTGAAACGTTTTAATATGAAACTTCGGCAGAGCGCCTCCCTCTCGCCCCTTTTCCTGGCTTACTGTCGTGGGTTCGGTTTTATGGATTTAATGCGTATAAATATCCGTGCGTTGATCTCGGTGGCGGTCGATTCAGGCACCAACTCCCGGAGCTGGATGCCTCGCGCAGCTTGGAACCGTTGACCCGATTTCCGTTTGAACTGGGTTTCCCTCCTCCTAAATATCCTCGACGGCTTTTATTGTTCTCATCCCCGACCAATGCGTCCGTGCGTGTGCGCGCTTTGCGATCGAATAATTGACGCGTAAATATAGCTAGAGCGTGGAGAAATTGTGAGAAAGACCAGACATTTGTAATGCGAGGAAGAGAGGATTTGGAAGGATCGTACATCTGTTATTTAAACAATAACACGAGTCTAAAATATATATATATTTTTAGGTTGCGGCGTTTGATAATTAAGTTTTGTAGAAGCTACTTGTATAGGTTTGAACTGAGCAAAAAAAAAAAATCTTTCTTTTTCTTTGATGGTGTTCACAAGTCGTTGCATAGCCTCCGTATAGAAGAGGCTATGGTCGTTGTGTCCGCACCTGTCTTGATCCCTTAGTCGTGAACGCCGTATAGTTCTACTAAAAACATATAGCTACACACACGTTGAAAAAGGATGTGCACAAACAGAGCAGCTGAAGCAGAATATAAAATATTGATGAAAAAGTGAGATAAAAACAAAAACGAAATAATTCACACACACAAAAAAAAATAATCTGGCAAAAAGTAGGTGTAGTTTACGAAAGTTACATTTCAACCACTTGCCAAATACACATACAGTATATGTGAAATGGACATGGCAAGCTAAAGAGAAAGAACTACATGAAAATTAGATTTCCAGTAACTGTGTCCTCGACAGTGGAAATAACGAAGAAAGTTAAAATTTCTAGTCGCATGAGCTACTCTAGAAAGTAGTTTGTAGTAAATCCTTGCGGTTCATTTCATTAGACCATTTCGTCGGTAATGTGTGTTTCGTTAAGTGCATGTTCGAACGTACTTTTCGTAATGTGTAGAATTATACCGGCACCTTTTCTTCGTTCGTTAGCATCAAGCAGTAGTGACTCACAGCAATGCACGTAAATACAAAAGTCGGACCGAAAAAAATGCATTCATTGCAGTTGAAGGTTTTCACGCATAAATAAGATCCTTTTCTTTTTTTTGCTTTATTTCACAAAACTGACGCGTTGGTGACTCGTCGCTTGTGGTAGACATAGCACATCCTTACAGACAATTATGAGAAATCCTCTCAAAACGATTGACTGGTTCACTTCCCGTGAAAACAAAACGCCGACGATCGACACCTGCCCCCGACAGCGAAAACTAACGAAATGAACAACTTTGTTAAGAAACAACTTGTCCTCCTTATGATAGCCTGGAACATCGGTCGTGACGAAATGGGTCGTGCGCCAAAGAAAGTCAGGTGGTCAAAGGGCTCGTGGTTGCGCATTTCGTTTGCATGTCGAGGCCGATAGTCCTGAACGTTTACCGATATCCGAGTTTCGAAAGCGCCCGCAGGCGGGGAAGACCGAGAGAAATTGAGAAACAACGAAGAATGGCCGTGAATTCTTTCTGTAAACAATTGACGCAATTGCGGTGAAGATACAAGTTGCATAGTGCGCATATCGTTAAAAAAAAAAAAAAAGAAAAAAAAAAAGTTCCGACGACAACTTTAGTTTGACGTAGAAAGCAAGCTGTTGTTCGCTCCTCGAAAGGTTCGGTGTACGTGACAGCTGTGTGAATTTTGCTTTTTGCAGCCGTTCTACGTCGATTTACGCGAGTTAAGCGATAGCCTGAATACTAAAGCATGTCGCCAGTGTTCATATGAATGATCATCGCGAAGTATGCGTCTATACTAGCGCACTCAAAATGATTCGTCAGGCAATGACAGATGCGACGAGCTCGAAGTCGAGGAGTGCCTGCGAACAGATCGGTTCGCTTCGACGCACACTTATTTTAAAAGGAGGATAAAAAAAAAAAAAAGGACAAGAAACGGTTGCAGCTGTTTACGAAGCAGTCTCTGAACTAAACGTTTCCGAAGAAACCAAACCGACCGCCAACTTCCTCAATTGCACAGCACCGAATCAACGAAGGCTCCGATGCCAAAGTTAGGCCTAGCAACGACTCCGACCGCTCGCTCGGGTCGTCTTCTGCTACGGAAAGCAGGCGCATCGTCTGCTCGAAACCCAAGAGCGCTTTTGTGGTGACGCTGAGCAGGTTACCGCAGTTTGCCGTTAAATACGAAGAGTACCGTAAAGGCTGGTGGGGCGTCAGCTCGCAGTGAGAACCAAACAGCACTGGCACCCGGGATCGCTTTCGGGGGCTTCGAAACAGCGTTCACATGAGCGGATCGCAGAGACGACTGCTCGTGTTCGAGCGCTCAAAAAAGATGACGAGAAATGTACTGACCCATGACGTCGGAGGACTCAGGAGCTTGCACGGGCCGATCGCTTTTAAATCCAGAGTGGGCGCTGAAGCTGGCTTTTCTCGAAGCACATGCGTGTGTATCCCTCACCGATCACCGAAATGCCGACGACGAGAGCTTCGCTGCGGCCTTGGGCACGATCAATAATCCAGGGTCGTTCTTTTTTGGGAGGCGGCAGGCCGGTTGTAGCACTCGGCGATGGTGAACGGGCGGATGACTTGGACGACTCTGACCGGAGGCCGGGGGGAGAATAAAAAAAAAATGACCGGCGGAGAGCAGGGCTTCGAGGGAACGTTTGGACGAGCGAGAGCCGGTAGCACCGACTGGGATCCCATCCAACTTTGTCGTCTGCGTTGCTTCCCCTCTGCTCTTTTTCCCTTTCTCTCTTAGCGAACCTTCTCTCCCTCCTTCCTCTCGCGATCCTCCCCAAAGCGTGCTACCCAGAATCCGCGCTTCCAGGAATCTCCTGAAACACTTTGAGCCTCCTCTCTCCTCTTCGTTTCTCTCCTCCTCTCTCTTTCGTCTTCTGCGCGCTTTTTCTTTTCTAGGCTTTCTTTTTACTGTGAACCTTCTTTCATTCTTTTTATTTTCTATCGTTCACCTCGGCTCCGGCGGCTGCTATTTTCATTTCGGAGTCTTCCTCGCACTTTTGTGTGTGTGTGTATGTGGTTCTTTTATTCTTCTTTCCCGCATCTTTCTCTCTTTCTTTGTGTTTTTCGTTTGTTCCATTCTGTTCTTCTGCAACTTGCTGCGTTTTCGAGTTCTCGTTGTTCGCTTTGTTCTCTTGGTTCTTGTTTACTTCCCGGGAAAAACTCGCAGCCGCAACTTGTTCCAGGGAAGAGTAAATAGAAGAAGCAAAAAAAGCACAACGACAAAGCGAGAGGACCTTTTCTCTCCGCCATTTTATTTTCTTCTTCTACTTTAGCCCGTTTTGGTGACGTAACGACAATGGCGTGCTTCCATTTATCGGCTTTGTGCGGCGTGACGCCTGACGTCATGAGCGCGTCGGCTCTTTTTGGTATTGTCATTTGATTCATATTTTTTTTGGCTCTTCGTTCATTGTTCATTCACATGGCGGGAGTTTTCAGTGGAACGCTCGGTTACGCTTTTTTTTTTAATCGCTGCGGGACTTTTTTTTTTTTTTTATCATGCGTTTGTTGCTTTGGTTTTCGAACGTGCGACAGTGGCACCACGCTTGAGTCGCAAGAGAAGCGCACGTACTGCGACGCAAAACACAAAACAGGACTTTTGTTTCCTTTATTTGTGCACACCATCGCAATTACAATGCTAGCAGGCGTTCTCGTTTCTCATCGTTCTCTAGCAGACGACGTTGCGCGCCGTTCCGTGAAGCGTCGTCTGCTATTGCGTCCCAATGGCTGATTTGCGCTCATATACTGCCTTCTTTGTGCGCATATACTTATGCGTCGCATAAAAGAAGCGCGATCGGGAACACGGAAATGGACTGGAGCATAGGTTGCTCTCTTTTCATCCATTTTCCCTCGTCTATTATACCGCTGAAAGGAAGCGGGGAGGCCGGCAAGTTGCCTGGAATGCGGCTGATCCAAGGTTGCATTGTGGAGGACAGGACCACTTTTTTACCATTTATATTTTTTATTCTATCTCCCTCTTTTTCACCTTGTCCGGTACCTGTTCTCTTGCCGAGGTCGATGCTCTAAATGCGAGAGGTCAAGTGTGTTTTGTTTTTGTTTTTAGTTTTAAAGTTTCGTCTGGCCATGTCTGGACCTTCTGGAAGGTCCAGACATGGCCAGCAACTCTGCTCAATGTTATTTCAAAGTTCGAAATAACTACGCTTTTTTTTTTTTTTTTTTTTGTGTGACTTTGCACAGTGCTGTGCGCATTGCACGCTGTGTTCGACTACGTGCTGCTTTGCTTTCGGGTGGTAACAGAAACTGCCTTGGTCAATGTATCTCTTCTTTTCTTTTTTTTTCCCCATAATCAAATCTTTAACGCTATTTGTTCGTGTTATTTCTTCATTTCTTTAATCGTTTGTACTGCAAAAAAAGAAAAAAAAAGACATCTTTCCGTCCCCTTTGGGGATAAACTCTATGCCGCACCATTTACAAGGATTCTATAAATCATGCTTGACGCGTATTAACAAGAACTTGTGTTTGCGATATACCTTTGCTCGCCTTAGTGCTTTCATGTGCGTTTCGAATTTTCGCAAAAAAAAGAAAAATCAATCAAACATGCTAAATTTTTTTACAAGCTTTGACGTCGCTCAGGGTTTCCGATTATGCATGCTTCCTAACCAACTCGCCTGCATACTTCGCCTTTCTGCAATGGTAACTGCTGTTCAACCTTGCACCTTATCGTATGAAAAATAAAAAAGTAGTAAATAAATGAAATTGAACGTTAGGCTCTTCTGCGCGGGTGCAGCAAACAGAATAGAAAGAGACGCTATCATCCCTCCGCGTTTAGTTGACAAGCAAGTCCCATCACCTCGCGCGTTCCTCTTCGCGGCAGGCCGCCATCCGCAAAACCGCACTTATCGGAAGCCCAGCTTCCTACTTCTCGCATCGGCGGCGACGTTTTCGGCTTAGTACGGCAGCGGAGAATTCAACCCCTTCCAACCTTGAACGCCTCTTCATTTTGGCACGCGCCTAGCGCGACTTCTGCAAACCGCCGCCGCCATTTTCCCCGTAATCCCCCCCCCCACTACCCTCCAATCTTTTCTTCGTAACTCACCCTCTCCCCTTCTATCTCTCTCACCCCAGCCCGCCTTCATTCTTCGACGAATGCTGTCTTCTTGAGGTCCAACCATCCTCGGTTTACCCCCCTTATAAAACACCGCAACGGACGCCACGAGCCACCATAGACCAATCCAGCGTTCCACGCGTAGCGCGTGCCTTCACGCTTCGCGCGTCGCTCCGCCCAACCGTAAGACCACGTGACACCCTCTGAGCTTTGGATTGGCTGCGGCCACTCGTAGCGTCCGTTGCGGTTCCACGCGGTTACCAATGGCAAGAAAAGCAACAAACAGATAAGGGTCCTTCCTTTTTATTTTCCGAGAAAAAAGAAGAAAAGGGGGCGACGGGAGGTGCGGTGCGTACTACTCGTCGCGGCGGGCACACTGACTCGACGCGGAAGCCAGACAATGGTGGCAGTGAGGATTTTATTGACTTCACTGGAATCTCCCGGTGGTTAGACTCGTCGTGAGGGTGGAGAGGGGCAGTCACGCAGCGGCGAATCAAGGAGTGGTCCCTCGAAGGCGCGGTCCTCTGGCTTTCAGAAGACCTGTCCTGCCACTGCTTTGAAGAGCTTTCTCTTTCTTTCTTATCTTTCAACTTCTCTCTGACTGGTTCGCATTCGTGCCGTCATGCTGCGTGCTTTCTTGCTGCAAAAAAAAAAAAAAGAGACAGAATGAAAGAGGGTAAGGTTAGCAGACGGACCACGGCCGCTTGATTCCTCTCCGTATAGCAGACGGGAGGACAGTGGCCGGACTAGCAGACGGATATGAACGAAATTTTTAAACACGCGGGCGAGGTGGTCAAAGAAGCCGACACAGGTTACACAGGGCAGAGGTCAATTGAGCGGACGAATAAACACGGTGCTAGCCGAAGTAAAATCACAAGAATAGTGGACAGGGCTTACGTTCTCGAAGTGCCAGACAAATGGGCGAAAGGATTTAGGCAGTGCGAAAAAGTTGTCTGCTGGCAACTGTAGACACTGAGACGATGAAAGCGGCCGGGCGTAGGTTTCGTATGCTTAACCTCACGCCGAACTAGTGATGATTTCCCTACTCACCAAAAAAAAAAAAGCGCCTTTGGAATGGGTAAGAGCTTTTTTTCTTTTCTTTTTCAGGTGACAGCGAGTATAGAACAATCAAGAACTGTGAACAGCCTCCTCCGCCTTCTTTCTGTGACGTCATCACACATCTATGTCGCCAACTCGGCGATTGGGCCCGAGTCCGATGGCGAGCGTTGATTGGACGCGAGGCCCAGCCGAACGCTGACGCGTTGCACTCGTCCCAGTCTGCGGCTGCGCTCGATCTCGCTGTGATGACGTCACAGAGTACGGACTTTTATTATTCTACGTCAGCTGGAGGCGGGACAACTGTAGAATCTCCTTCTCGTTATAATATTGTATACGACTGTAGCAGACGTCAGCAGACAACAAAAATAAACAAACATGTAAGAAAAAGAAAAAAAAACGGTCGGACGTGCAGTAAAAAAAAAAAAAAGAAAACAGACGAACGGATGAAGCTTTGGTAGGCGTAAAAGAAAACAAAAAAGTGATTGGAGGGAATGCTGTCGATACGTTGAGACAAATGATCATTAGCAGACGCCAAAAAGGAAAAAAAAAAAAAAAAAAAAGAACTTAACAGGTGTGAGGAATGTGGGCAGACCTAGACTCTAGCCGAAACTGCGTCAAGCGTACAGCCGACCGACAAAACGGCCCGATCGGCAATAAAGTCAGACAAAGGAAAACATCACGTTAACGGACCTCATAAAGAAAAAAGTGAAAGGTTATGGCGGTTTACGATTGAGTGCGGATAAATGAACGATACCTTTGCACACGCGGGCCGAAGCCAGCGTTTGACAAGGCGGCAGGTCATTGAACGAGTCAACAAGTATAGCCCTTAAAAGTTCTTAGACAAAAAGAAAGTGCTTACGTTTAAAATTAAAACTTAACGCGGTTGATTAGATTATCATCGCGTTCCGCAACCACTATAGTGGTAACTTTAGTGCACTACTACGCTTCTCACGTGCTAAAAGTCTTTCTGAAAATTACTGATTTAGTGGTTTTCGATAACGCTCAGCAAGTTTCTAATTGGAACCATGTGTATCCTTTCATTAATTAAAAAGTTAATTAACGAATTTTAATTAATTAGCCGACTGATCGTTACGACTAGCCCCCTAACTATGTCCCCCTGGCCGTATAACTTACCTACACAAACCGCAGAAGTGCAACTTTCACGGCTGTTCTATCTGTTAAACTTAAGAAAACTCTCTCTCTCTCTCTCTCTCTATCTATATATATATATATCTGTGCGTGTGTGTGTGTGTATGTGTGTGTGTGTTTTACTGTTACGTTTACATTTTGTTTTAGCTTAAGTCCATTCTCAGTCGACCGAGGTTCTCGTTGTCTTGCCGGGTTTGCTATGCGGGGAGCAAGTCGTCTGCTTCTTGCACAGGAGTTGCAGTGACGTCAGAACAACGCCGAGCTGTGATTGGTTTCGATTGAAAGGATAGCGGGTATAGACCTCAATGCTAGATGCCCACGATTTTCTTTAATCAGCCAATGAAAGCTCGGCGTTCTGGCATCATTGCAACCCCTCTGCAAGTATAGCAGACGAACTTACGCTCCGCGTATCACCGGCTAAACGAATAAAAAAAAAAAAAAGAATAGCGAAGAATTGCAGCGCCTTTACTCTGTGCGTGATTGGTAGATACATGGTGACGGCAAACACACAA